GATGTGTTGAGCACCTGTACTCCATCCTCTGTCCCAGCCCCATAGCATTAACAGGGGCAGATCATAATACTGACAACTTAGATGAGGTCCCATCAGAGAGGCTTAGGTGTTAGGCACCTCCGGAGGAATGAGTCACAGGAGGCAAAATTGGTCTATTAGAATTTATTTGGTGGGTTTGAGCAGCAGGTGGTCGGGTTAGAAAAAAACATGACATTTCCTGAGCAAGAGGGGTGTGAAGTTTCATAGGAGGGGGTAAACGAGGGTGTTCCTCGTCAATGCAATGCTTCACTGGCTTTTAGTTGCATTATTCATCACAACTGAGGGTTTGGGGGTGTGGCCATGTCCTCTTGCTCCATATCCTGGTTCCCATGCCTTTGTCCGGGAATGTTCAGGTCCACTGATCATGGGTCCCTATGAGAAAAACACAAGCCAGCAGGGAGCAAGACAAGATGGCTTCTAAGATAAGACGGTTTCTATTCAGCACATTCCCTGCAGTTTCTCCAGGCCTAAGGCAGCGTCTGCTCCTGGCCTAACAGGAAGACACTCTGTCCAGGTCACAGGACAAATAAATGACAGCGCTGGAATGCAGTCCAGGAGGCGTGGCCTTACTCTCACCTGCTTCCTCATTGTTCCATGAAAAGCAGTGTGTGTATTGGAAGAAGAAGGACAGCATAAGGGGAGGGGCCCTTTGTTCCCCACAGGGCGTCCCAGGTCAGGAATTGAGGACCTGGACTTCAAGTGTGCCTTGTCACATGCCCACTAAGACCTCCGGATGAAAAAACAAAGAATCCTGGGGAGGAGGTCTTCGCGCGGTCACCTGTCAACTCGAGTCTAGATTGCACACAAATATAAGTCCCGAAGAAACCTTTCCCAGCTTGTCTCCCCACTGCTCCCCGACTCTACACACACCCCATTCTGCCCCAGAGGCCCTGGGATGGCCCAGGGGTAACAGAGCATGGGCAGGAGGTTGGAGGATCCGCAGGAATGGCGTCCCCCTCCACCCCCATCTGTCCTGATGTCTGGGGAGCACAGCCCAGAACAAGCTGGGCCCTTCCAGGAAGAGGGATCAGATCTGCACGCTGAGGTGCTGTTCAAACTCAGAGCTAAGATGCCCCCACAGCCTGAGAAGCAGGAGGGATGGACCTGAAGGCTGCAAGACCTGAAGGCCTTTCCCTAATGACTGCACTCCTACTTCTTGGGCCTGGAGAACCCCTGTGAGCTCTCCGAGATGGGCGGAGAATGGAGATGTGCGGAGAGCAGGACAGTGACTGTCTTGGAGGAGATGTCCTGGAGGTCCCTGTGGATCGCCAAGGCTGGCCTCCGGCTTTGTTCTTTTTCTCCAGGAGAAGACATTTTGAGCTGGCCCCTTTGGACAGTTTTGAGGACTGAGACAGTCAAGCGTGTGTCATCCACACCTGTGCCCCTCCGTGCCTCATTCCTTGGAGAAAACACGGAGAGGGGAGCATCAAGGTAGACAAACTGAAGCAGCCAAAGACCCTGGATTCTGCCCTACACCCCCAGGCAGCAGTGTAGACATGGACAGGTGTCTGCCACCAGCAACAACTCACACCAGGACAGCCAAGATTAAATGAGAAACAGGTGGTCCGTGGGAGACCCAAGACAATCTCCGCAATGATTTTATGAAAGTATTTCCCATGCACACCTTCCCTCCTGTTTTTCCAACCTCCGCAGCTGCCTGCCCAGGGTCCCACCATATCAGGCTCATCTCTGGCTCCTTTTTGGCCGCGCGCCGGAGCCCATCCCACCCTGTCTGGAACCTCACTCAGTTCCTCCCCAGGATGTTCACTTGGGAGCCAGCTCTGGTCTAGGACCAGACCTTCACTTCCTGATTTACGCTGAGCTCCTGAGCTGTCTCTAACTGGAATTGGCTGCCCTTCCACTTTCTATTCTTTTTGGAACGCTCTGATAATCTCAATCCTTACATACCCATTTGGGAATGAATAGGGAGCCTCAGAGTGAGGGTGTGGTGTGAGGGGGGTGTGGGGCAGGGTGTGAGGGGGTAGGGGGGCTCCTGGGGCAGCAAGGTCTGGAATGGAAGCAGGTGAGTCAAGGTCAGGTCTGGGATAACCTGGGAAACAGACACATAGGACAAGAATCTTGCTCTTGCCACACCCACTCAGCTCAGAAAGGTCCTTGGTCATTGTATGGGCTGCACTGTGTCCCCCCCCCCCTCCAAATTGGTATGTAGAAGTCCTAACCCCCAGGTCCTCAGAATGTGACTGTATTTCAGACAGGGCCTTTATACAGGTGATTATGTTTAAATGAGGCACTTAGGGTGGGCCCTGATCCAATCTGACTGCTGTCTTTACAAGAAGAGGAAGTTGGGACACACAGAGGACACACAGAGGAAAGACCACGTGAGGACAGAGCGAGAAGGTGGCCATCTGCAGTCCAAGGAGAAAGGCCTCGGGAGAAACCAGCCTGCCGACACTTTGATCCTGGACTTTCAGCCTCCAGAACTGTGAGGGTAAAATGTCAGTTTTAGAGTCACCCAGTCTGTGGAGTTGTGACTGAATCACCTTCCAAAACTCCTGTCGTGTGCCCAATGCACTCATAAACCAAAACACTGCGACACTGGTGCTTAGAGATACAAAAAGGTTTACTGGACTCGGCCAAAGAGAGAGGATGAAAGAACAAGATCTCTCCACTCTTCCCCCAAAAGCTAAAGTAGGGAATTTTTATGCAGCTAGGGAGTAGGGAAGGGGGAGTCTCGGAGAATCCAGAGAGAGGAGTCTGTTTCTTCAGTCTTAGATAACGTTTGGTATCAGACTCCTGGGCGTCAGCAGCTGGTTGCAGCTATCTTGGAGACATTGTTTTCTTCTGCAGAACAAACTCCTCCGTTCTCCTTGGGACTCCGAAGTTATCGCCTCTTGCTCGACACCACATCAGTGGCTTATGAGAACAAATAGAGTGAAGCGGGAAGAACAATTACCTTGTGAACAAAGCCCTAATAAAAAATTAAATTATTCAGTCCTAGCTGCCGCAACTACATGGAGCCTTCAAATCACAACGGCCTTGGCTACAGGGTTTGTTTGGAAAGCCCTAGCAACAAATGCAGTCATTCTCCCAGTGGGCCCTCATTCTCTGGTAAGTCAAGTCTGCCTTGAAGGATGTTTCTCAAGTCTTCTGATTCTCACACTTACACACTTCATGACCATTTATGTTCAGTTTAATAACAAGATTTGGTTACTGTGGTGAGATAGGAGGCGCCAAGCTGGGGGAGAGGGAGACCTTGAGGGGTGGAGGGAGGACGTGCAGGGGGAATGACCTGAGCCAGAAGGGAGGTAGGAGGCCCAAGAACAGAGGTGAAGGTAGTGGGAGGAGAGGGGGAGGAGCGGGGGAGGCTGAAGCAGCACCCACCTGAGGATTTTATTAAGCTGTCTGGACAGAAATCTGTAATTTTTATGCACTCGCCTCCAACACCTGAAACGCATTTGCCGGTTGAACACAAAGTTTTCCCAGCAGCTGTTAAACTCTGAGATAAAGAGGAGTGAAAGCAGTCAGGACCTGCCCAGGAGACTTTCTCTCAGCCTCCCCAGGTGTCCCCGCTCAGGGCCTGGTCTCCTCCCTGCCAGGGGCCATCACTCCTGCCTCAGTTTCCCAAGTTACTGCCCCCCCCCACACACACACACACTCTCCCAGGGGCACTCTAGGTCCCTGTTACCTGGTTTTCGTCCCTCCCACAGCTCTGTCCCAGCTCTGTCTGCTCTCACCTCGGTAGGACATGATTTCCATCCGGGTCCCTAAGTCGTGCAGTTTCTGAAGCCCCTGACGGAATGCTGGGTGCCAGTAGTAATAGAGGCGGGAAGTGAAGATACTTAGCTTCACGTTCAGGTGTGTCCTCAGGAAGTTGGCTATCTTCTCTGCACAGGCGGCGCAGGGGCTCCAGGACAGGAACCAGGTGACGTGGTAATACTCATCGGAAGACAGCTTCGTATCATGGAACCAAGACAGGAAGCAGAGTTCTGCGTGGTAGGACCCATACTCATTCTTATAGAACTGGGAGAGATGGAGAAGGAAAGGGGACGCTCTGGGCTGGCAGAGCAGGCATGCGACAGGGCGGGTTGGAGTGGGGAGAGGGACCAGGGAGCAATAGTCTCAGAGGCATGTTATGGATCGACTTATCCCTTTTTAAAATCTCTCTCCTTTCTCTTGTTTTTACTTAGTCATCCCTTCCCACACGCATCGACTTATCTATTCATTGCAACATCCATTCTCCCATTCATTCAAGCTACAAGCATCCTGAGCGCCTGCTCCGGGCTGGGCCTCTGGGGTCCAGGCTTGTTCCCCAGGTGCTGTCTGCTTAGGGGAGTGGGGGGGCGGGGGACACAGAGCTGCACTGTCGACAGGAGAACCACTAGCCACATGTACTGTGGCAATGGGCCCTAGACAAAGACCTTCCAGACCATGTGGTCACCAAGGATTTTGCGCGGGCTTCAGACAAAGACATTCCTGAACTGTATGGTCAGCAAGACTTCCGCGATTAACCTTTTCAAATTCCTACCTCACCTGAGAGCCAGTCAGGAACTGGCTCAATGGCCACATGTCCTAATAAGGAACCTGGAAACCTCAGGGTATATAACCCCAAATCCCAACTGAGTGGGGGCTCAGCCTCTGGATGTGAATCCGCTGAGCCAGTGCCGGCATTACTAACAGTTGCTTCCCACGCCTTGGTGTCCTGTCTCTTTGTCTGGGTTCCCCGCAACAGTACCAATTGCGCTCTTGAATGTGGCTTGTCTGTATTGAGATGTGCAGCAAGTGCGAAATACTCATCTCCTTTCAATGACTTAGTGTGGAAAAAAGAATGTACCCTATCTCATGAAGAACTTTCGTATAAATTATACATTGAAATACTATCTTAGATATGTTACAAAATAGATACGTTACAAAGCACATTATCAACATTAAATTCGTCAAGATCTCTTAACTTTTGAACACCGGGTACTAGAAAGGGTTACATGACATAAGTAACCCCGATTATGCTTCAGTGGGATTGTACCGCTACAGTGCACACCTGTCCATCCCACA